TTAAGGTAGCCATACGCGACATACAATTGCTTTCGATAGGTCTGAAAACATTTCACAATACCAGACATACCAATTCAATTTACGTTCATTCTTAAAAGAGTAAACATGTACGACGATTAAGCGGATGTGATTGCACTTCTCGCTTACTTCACACTTCACACTTCACCAAAAAAGCGCACCGATAGAAAAAATGCGCTTTCCCTGGAAACTTCTACAGCGACGTCTCCACTGACGATATGGAAAGGGTGATGTTAGCTTTGCTTTGCCGAGGTGTCAGCCGCGGTTTGTACAGTAGGCAGCCATTCCGGTCCTTGATCAGGGAGTGAGTATTGGACGCTAGAGTAGTAACCTCGGGCGAGCGCCAGTCCGTATGTGTCCGCTGGATAATAAGAGAATAAACAGTAGTACAAATAGTAATATATACGGGATAACAATGAGCAGCGTCATTTAAAGTCCTGATAATATTATAATAGCAAGACACCAGAAACGGATCTGCTTAAGAGAGCGCCGATCTCTAGCGGAGTCAGCGAGACTGACACCTTTAGTCATGCACTAAAACTGGTGCGATCGCCAAAAAAAAAGTGCTTACAGTGGAAAAGCCTGTGAGAGCGAGATCCAACACTTTCACTGAAAGAAAGCGCGCTCCTATCGGAAGGGACGCAACCGGCTGGTGACGTCCTGTCAGAGCTGGGAGAGACGATTAAAAACTAGACGAAGGAAATAAGAATGCCCTGCTTAGCTCCGTGATGAAGCTTCACACTCGCCCCCAAAAGGAGTTCGAGAAGTGCAAAGAGTACAGGCGAAATGTTTCCCTAATAACCATAATGAAAGACTCAACTCCGTAGAGACCCCGCGAGGATGAGCAACCAAGAAGCATTGCAAAAGATGGCTAATGGGAGTAAAAAATATGAAGGCGAAAACCCTGTAAATGAAAAAAAGACAGAAAGACGGCAAAATGCGAAATACTACTGGAAATGAAGATAGCGCATATGATAAACACGGGATCATATGAAAAAGAGATATGCAAGGCGAACAGGTGCAGACATATTTGTGGATTGAGATATATTTGTGGAGATTCGCGATCTAGATGAAATAAACACTAAGGAGGATATAATCGAGGCAATCCGACCGTAAATTAAAGAATTAAGCTCATTCGGTGAAGATGTGGACAAAAACATCCGACGACTGCTTGGCGTTCATAAGATCAAAGTTGGACGGGTCGTCTGCAGAATTAGGAAAAGGCCGAACCTTAGAAATTGCTTGGAATCGGAAGTTGGAAGTGTCCTCTATACCAACAGGCTTAATCTCTTATCTTACTATACACGGGCGAAAATAGGTGGAGCTTATTTCTGTAGTTGCTGACTCCCCCGTGTGTATCACAAGGTAATTCCGATGAACTAGTTCATTAGGCCCTTACCACCACGCCAAACTTGATAGCAGACTATTTCACTGCATATGCTTTGGAACGGGTTAGTAGCTGCACAAATAGGCGTGGTAGTGTTGCATAACACGAGCGGGAGAAATACTTTCGCGAAGAATGGTCGCGGGTCGAAAATGAATATTACGTGCGCCGACAGGATACTGGTTCGATCGTCTAGTTGGACTGGTGGAATGAAAAGACAACTACACTAATAAGCGAATGCCACAAAGCGAGATGCCTCTCTCAGAGAATCAAAGGTACGCCTGATCATACAAGGTTGCGAGAATGCTTCAGGACAAAACATAAGCTGAAACAGACTATCAAAAGAAGCAAGTCGTCTAGTTTCAAATAGCTATGTGAGAAATTGGTTGAAAACCCATGGGGGGGATGCGTTCAAAATTGCAATGACGAAGTTTAGAGGAAGCAGAAGCAAAGCAAAAAGCAGCGCCTGATTTTTCTTCAGAAGCCGAACAAAACGGCTAGAGAGCCTAGTGCGTATCGACCACTTTGTGTGATCGACACGACAGCTAAAATATTGGAGAGGCTGATCTGTATACGTTTGGAAAACCATAAGGAAAACGAGTCACCTGGCCTATCTGAAAACTAATTTGGTTTCAGGAGACATCGGTCCACCATAGATGCAGTCCAGCATAATTGATAACTATCTGTCTGACAGACTGCTATTATATGATTCGGAGTCGGGGCCAAAAAGGTACGTCATGATAGGGGGCGTGCCGCAGGGATCGATACTGGGTCCGTTGTTATGTATTGTGCTATATGATGAGGTCTTACGCATACTATCACCAAAGGAAGCTCATATAATTCGCTACGCGGACAACACCGCTCTGACGATTGTTGAGACAGAGCCTACCCAAATTCAAAGCACCTGCAATGAGGCCATAGCAAAAATTAAGGACTGGCTCACGGCATCTAGGCTACAGCTTGCTGGAGAAAACACAGGAGCTGAGCTTATCACGAGCAGGAAAAAACTTGAAGTGGTCACACTGGACATCGATGGACATAGCGTTATAACGCAAAACTCACTGAGGTACCTTGGAGTAATGATTGATGCGAGGCTGAGTGAGTGCACCCTGAAGAAAATCCTGGCCTAAATAAGTGGCCCTAGCCATAGAGGTTCAGGCCAAGTGATATTAGAGGGACTAAATGTTCCTCCTGCTGCAGTGCCGCAAAAACGCGGAGCATATGTTATTCTTCTGCTTGAGTTATGAAGTGGAGATCTACTTAAGAGCAGATAATAAACGAAATGACGCCCGACAACAATATGAGTCAGATGCTGTAATCGGGGTTTGGTGAGGGCTAAAATGGGGAATGGGCCGATATAGCGCTCCAAGAGCTTAGAACAAAAGCTCGACCCTACTAAGTGGGGCTTAGCAAAATACAAGTAGTGCAGGGCCAAATACAAGCTACAGCAGCCGGATTTAAGGGTTTTAGCTAGTCCAGTATAGTTAGATAATACTATCTGTGCATGGTCCCGAATGAGGTGTGCCTTTAGCGTGCGATACGAATCGTTTATGCCGCCCGGAAAAATGGCGGTCTCTTAAAAATTCCCCCCTCCGAAAACAAACAAAAAACCGACCGCGGAAATTTTGGCCAACATGGATTCGTATGCGCACAACACCACACACGTGTAAATCTCACTCGCACACATACCGATCGAAAATACTTGTATGTCGCTTATGGTTACTGACTCACTGGCTTATGGAAGGCTGACTCATAGAAATTTCCAGCTGTGAAGAATCGCAAGGCGGTAGTCGATAGAGTTCAAACTAAAAAAAATACGTCAGTTTTAGTTGGATACGATTTATTAAACTAAATCTGGCGTTAATGTTTATAGAGTTCGAAACTTGGCTGCATTCATTCCGTAATAAAATATCGCTCTTATGTGGATGGTGCAAACAACTTCAAAATATTCGTCGTTTAGTTGGCGAATTGTCGAGAAGTGACAACAGCTGAACAAGCGATAGTCAATATCATTAAAATAAGTACAACGAATATTAAAACCGTCAAAATTATCGCTGAGTTATTTTAACGTTCCGAAAATCGTCAAAACAATATACTGAATCCATCGCACCCCAAGAAATTGGGAAATCATGTGTTATCCGTATGAATAGGTAAAGCGACAAATTGCAGAGATGATCAACTAACGGAACGGTACCATCGAATTTTGTTAATAATTTATTTCGTTTCGTCGCCTTGTTTTCGAAACGAAATAAAATTGTTAATGGCAAACTCATAGTGAGCGTTAATTTAAAAAAAAATGAAATTTAATGAAATCTAATTTATTTCATATATTTTTATTTGGAAAAAGGACTTTGACGATTTTAAATTACATATATAAAGTGTACGTAATATATGTATACGGTTTCCCTTCACCTCAGCTATGTTTTCTTCGGCATTAACGGATGTTATTGCTGGTTCATTCGCTTAAACTTCTACACTATCCAAATTAGTCATTCTAGATAGCAAAATTGTGCAACACTCTGCAGCCAACAATGATGTTCATAGTTGTGCCGAGCGAAACTTTCAATCCATAGCTCTTCGATATGCAACTTCGAGTAGAAGAAGTTCGAAGCAAAGCACGAGTGCAATCTAAGCACCACAACACCTTTAAAAACTTTCATACTCGGTGTTTTCCAGTATTTTAAGGAATAATTCGACAAGTGCCGCGGTAGCAATGGATACTATTTACCACCCGCCACTTTTATTGGGCCCAACATCGGAGCACAAACTAAAACACTTTCCGATGCATAAAATCGTAATGTTAAAAACAATATTTCCGCCGCTTTATTCCTGCAAAATCAAATTTATTATCAACAATATTTATTTACTCAAAGTACATTATTTTCACAAACCTTCCAATGCCGCTTATAACTTCTCTCTATTTTTTCCAAAAATTTATTTGTGCACGGTACGTTCTATCCCTATTAATATCCATCTAAATCAACGCAGTCAGATAGGCAGTGCGTACCATATTTTCCATAATAAAATTTATTTGAAAGCCAACACCGAATACTATTTTTATTTATTATTTTACAATTTCCAGCTATCAAATTATCTTCTGGTTAAGAGCTAATCGCCACTAAATGTTGGCTTTAATTTAACCGTAACTTAATTGACAGATGCACCTTAACCGGACATTGTGAAAACGAATTTTATGCTACCTTTCGATTAAGTTCTGATTAAGTGCTTAACCGAAGATGGTGAAAACGGCCTTTAGTTTGATGGTTACAGCGGCTATCCAAAACGTCATCTAACAAGAGATGCAGGAAACGAACTATTTCGACGGGATTGGACCAGAGATAAAGGGGATTTATCATTTGCATCTGCGAAAACTTAGCTTGATTGGACAGATATTGCAAAGATCAGATAATGGTATTATTAATGTGTGTGTCACTGCGTTATAGTAAGCAAAGAAACGCCCATCAATAAAAGATTGTAATTTTCCAAGTTTATTCCCAGATCCTCGATTGCCAAGAGGTTAGAATAAAAGACATATATATATACCGCATATTAATATTATTATTATTATAAATTTATGAACAAATAAAAAATGTTGATAATTTTTCAATTTAGCAAATTGTGCCGCAGTAACGACATTATCTAGTTATGTGACAAAAACTAAATAACTGATTTTAATGTACCAAATTTTTTTATAAATATATAAAATAACGCAAATCTCTATGAACATTCTTCTTGACTCTTTCTGACACATCGGGCAACCTTTCTCTTAAACTCCGGATATGATTCCCTCCACTCTTTAGCAGCGTCAACATTAGCTGGAGATTCATCGTTAGGATCAGCCAACATTGATATCACAGATATCAAAATTGTTTCAACAGTATGCACTGGCAACCAACGCTCAGATGCCTTTTCATAACCCCATTTATCGTCGCCAGGTTCATGCAAAATTGAAATGCAAACATCACCGTTCTTTTCAATATTAGGATGCCAAATTTCTGTCACAAACTTCATGCGGGGAGGACGAAGAGGGTATTCTTTTGGAAAATATAAGTGTGCTTTGAAAAAGCCTCCTTCGCTGTAAAAATTAAAAAAAAAGAAAATGTTTTTATACATACGACAAATTGATTAAATGATATAATTAGATAGAATGATCCGGAAAGTTTTTTCAGCCATTTTTTTTTTTGAAAAGGAAGGAATTATTGTGCTAAACGAAATAATGTATATATAATACTGTAATATATTTAAGCTTCAAAAAACAAATTAATTGGCATAAAAAACATATAAGAATTTTCCAATGTTGCGATGAGTGTTCTGAAGCGGCTGCAGTCTGAACTCGGGAAACAGTAACTATGTTGGAGTCATGCATCTGATCCATCTGAACAGTCGACCCGTTTTTTTATTTTTAATTAGTGTCTCTTTTATATGAACAGAAAAAATACCGGAAAAGTTGAAAAGTTACAAATTTTTTAAGATTGAAAAAGTTCACTTTAAGTCGCAAAAAAAAATTGTTTAAATAGAATATTGAATTAAATATTAAAGCAAGATCGCTTTGTTTTTTCTGATCGGATTTATATATATTCCTTTGCTTTCATCATCATTCATTCAATTTTCTAAATCAAGTAAAAATGAAAAGCCGAGAAATCGAGCTTTAAAGTTCTGCCCGAGAACTCGACTCTCGAAGTGTCACAGGGAGAATATCCAAACTCGAATCCGTTGTGACCAAAGGTTAGAGTATGCCAAACAGTACGTAAAGAAGCCAAAAGAGCTTTTTTTTTGGAGAAACGGGAAGTTACATTATGTTATTAGCACCGTAAGACATGTTGGCGGTCATGTAATGATTTGGGGAGCAATGACGGCAAATGGAGTTGGTTCGTTCTGTTTTATTGAGGGAATAATAAAGAAGTTTAGTTACTTGGGCATATTAAAGGAGCACATTCCTGAAAACAAAAATTACAATACCCAGCAACCTTTACCTTAGTTGATTTACAATATGAAACAAGTTCTGCGTCATCCTCCCTAAAGCCCAATCCCATTGATCCCCTGTAAGAGCATATTGAAACGGCACTAGGAAATCGCGAAACTGACCTTTTTTTCCTAAGTTATAAATTTTAATTAAATTAAAAATATAAACAAATTTTATTTTGTGCAGCAAGAGACTGGATTTATATAATATGGAATTTCGTCTATAGAAAAATGTTTGAACCAATTTAGTTTCGGCACACTGTATATATAATTGGTCTTATGTAACCACCGAGCTCTTCATCAAAATTGTTGTGTGCGTCTTAGAGTTTGTTTTTTGTGACAGTTTATTCTAAGTCGCCTCCGAACAGTTGATGGATTTTTACGAAGAGCCCCTTAGAGCTATTATGTCAACAACACACGGAGGACGACTGACATTCATTGTAGAGGGGCAACTGTAATATAAACGGACTACTAACCATTCTACAGGTGACTACCTACTACTGGTATTAAATACCTATGATCTGGCGAACACAAATAGCCTACTGAGTGTCTTAGATGCCTCTACATCCCCTTTCAACCAAACAATATATTAAACTCAGACAAAGTCTAGGTTTCATATCAACCAGCCGAGAAAATTAACACAAAAAATATACATATATATGTAAGGCCACATCTATCTTTATTATTGTACACCTATGTATTGTATTGTACGCCCACGATGGTCCGAAACGCTATAAAATACAAACCGGGTGTCGAAAAACGCGGGCGGAAATGTATAATACCCACTCAATTGGTTAAGTCCGTTTTGCCAAAGACGATTTGACTTGGTCTTTGACCAAATGACATTTTCTGGTATGCCGAGTCAAACATTTTTTGTTATGGTAAAAAAGTTCTAGGCAGTTTGTAAGACGTCCACCGTAAAACATGGTGGATCTAGCATTAAGGTTTAGGCATGCTTTTCGTGGTATGGCGTTGGACCTATTCGTTGGATCAAGTAGACCATGAATGCTGCCCAATAAGCCTAAATCATGCAGGAGGTCTTGCTCCCTAGCGAGGAAATGCATACTAGCAAGCTTGCAAAGAAGTGGTTTGGAGACAACCCAGTAAATGTTACGGAATGCCCTCCAGTCGCCTGACATTAACCTGATAGAAAATTTGTGGGCTGATGTAAAAAAATCGGTGTCCGACTGTTATGGGAACCCGCAAAGACTGCTTGGAACTCTATTCCAATTGAAAGGTGCCAAAATCTGGTGAACTCAATGCAACGTCGCTGTGCCGCCATAATTAATAATAATGGTTATACAACTAAACACTAAATTAATGTATAATGAGTAGTTAATTGATAGCCAATGTAAAAAAAAAAAACATTTAATTCAACCTAAATAAAAAAATGTTTTAAAATATACCCTATTATGTGTAACACTACAATGATTTTGACCGCTTAAAAGCTTAGACTTTCGTAAAAAGTATTAGTATTTTTGTTTTTTATAACCAAGTGGCTTCAGTTTTTTTTTTTAGTTAGCTTTGATTAGTCTTTTAACTACTAAAAAATAAGAATTAAACTGATTTTCGTAAGCAACTACATATTTTTTTCAACTGAATTTAGTGCTTATCCGCGCTAAGATTATGATCGCAGCTGTATATAAGTCAGCAACTTACTAAAGTGTATCTGGTGGTCCTATGATGAGAACTTCCCATCGAAATATATCATTTTCATCAATCAGTCCGGCCGAAAATCCTTCAACGGGATTTTTGTTCAACTCTATAAAGAAAAACGGGTAAATGTAATAAAAAAATGATTTAGCATTTGTAAGTTTATATATTTGTAAGTTTATATTATGTTAAATAATCCCTTAAGAAAACTGTAATTATATTCATATCAGATCTTTTCAGGAAATATAGAAAAAGCAGTCCATGCTAAAAGGTAAATTAAATACACTTTGCTTGCATGTGTTAAACAAACTTTTTTTTCTAAATAATAAGTGTTTAGTTCACAAAAACGCGACCATGAACACATATGATAAGTATGTTTATCTTGGTCCTTAACGGCCGAAAATTTCTAAGCTCCTTACTCGTGGTAGCTTTAAAATCGATGAAAAGCCCTTTAAGATTTACCAGGTCTAAAGCAACACTTATAAGGTCATATCAGTTTGTTGATGGCGGGTTTTAATTTTTCATATTACACGCTCGATAGGACCAAGATATTATGCGACATTGTGGCTATATTTTTAAAAAGTGTCTCTTTTTTGAGCAATTAATCTTCCATTGCTTTATGTTTTTCCAATTCTTTTCCTGCAAATATATCTTTTCTATCATTTCATGACGTAGCGCTGGGCGACTTAACTGTCGCAGTATTGAACATTTTCGCCTTAATTTTAAAGCACTTTTACATTGTGCTATGGCATCTAGGAAATATCAATGACAAGAGAAAGATTTCTTGACTTCTCGTTATCTTTAACTGCTTCCTTTACTTAGTCATCTCCAAGCTATTAACGAATTAACGATATAGAACGAATAGTGGTTTGCTCGTCATTATAGTGAGCTTCTATCACACAATGCGGTAACTCAGTAAGATTTAATTTCTTTTGATCTTCACCTGATCGAAGCGGGGAAGTAAAATGTCGTATTTTGGCGTTTATAACATAAGCCTAACCACTTTTTACCTTGTCATATTTAAATGGGTTTTTTTCATACTGTTACTAATATTTTTTTGTACTGCATTGAAGGGATCGCAGCTTTTTGAAGGAAAACAAGACTTGCACATGTTATATTCACTACCCTTTCAGTGATCTTTTGGTTCTTCGTCGCTTTTCCACAATGATTGTGTGCCAAAGTAAAACAAAATTTCTGAACCTTTTCCATTTAGCCGGACTAAAATTGTTGACTTTGAAACATCATAGGTACTTGCGTTATCACAATACTCATCGTATTTATCCTAATATCTTTCAACGCCAACTGCAGCTTTTTTAACCCGAACCAGCGTCGTCCTCTTTCAATAGGTTCTTAGCTTTTTGCATTTATAAAATATACAAACATTTTCATTGATTTTGGACTGATATTAAGTACTTTCACCAATTATTTGTTGAATAGCAATCAAATGAAACACTGTCATTGTCATCAAGTTATTAATAAAAAAAAACTTTCCTCATAGAACTGAAGTGCTACTAGTAAAAATAATAGAAAAATAGCAAATACAAGGCAAATTTCGAAACCGTTATAAATTAGTAGCTACGATGATTTTATTTCTCAAATTTTAAAATAAACAAGTCTACGGTTTGTTATTTCAAAAGATTAAAGTGAAAAGTACATATGTACGTGTATATGTATTTTGCAATTGAGCAATTGTTTAATTTGTTTAATATTCGTATATTTAATAGATGTGTAAATTAACATTTGTTCAATTATTTATAACGAAACTTCTTACAAAGTGCAAATAAAATGTAAAAAGACGGTAAATGACTCGAAAATATAAACATAACAAGAAACGGAAAATCCTTTCAAATGAACCCCCTTCCAATCTGTATTTAGAAGAGAAGAATAAATAAAACAATATGTTAATGAGTTATTGTTGTCCGAAATCGTGTGGGTGCATTGTTAAACTCAGCATCAGATCGTTATTGAAAAAAGTTAAAGCCGCTTCTAAGTGAATTAGAGCTGGTTGCAAGTGAAATTCAAGTTAGAACGGCTTTCACACTTAAGACAAGCTCTAAAGTTAGAGTGAGGAAGTACTTTTACTAAAACTGCTGCTAATTATGTGAATTCAATTTAATATTAGTTCGCATCGTTTTTGTGCGGATTTTATTTTACGAAATATAAAGCATGTCATATTTTGGAGAAATTGGAGAATTTGTAATTTTAATGGTTACATCAAATAAAACAAAAAAATGTTCCAGTAAAACTCTAAATAAATAATAGATTATCTAATTGATCTTTTTTAAACTAAATTATTTGACAATATCTTTCAGTTAACATCAATAAAATAAGTTGTATCCTCCTTTACACACAAATAGTTTTTTATTTTACTTTAGAAATATTAAAAAGCACGAGGCGAATGAAAAAATGGAGAGTGTAAAATATAGGGGAATAGAGAAAAAAAAATAAGAAACAAATGTCTGTTTCGCTCTTGTTTTTGCCTAAAAATGTAATTCACCGTCATCTATGCTTCTGTAATTGCTGTAAGCGCATGTAAAAAGTTACACTAACTAATTTTTAAACTGACCGTTAAAAGGTTGTCATTCGAAGTGTGAACTGTCATTTTGTATAATTATTATATTATATTAACTGGAAAGATATTGCGAATCATTTTGCATATTCATAAATCGGTTAACATTTTTTTGAGGCGTCGAGGAACCAAATTTGGCTTATAAAGTATATGAGCATTTCGAAGTTTAATTCAAGCATTTTTCTAATTAGTTTAGTTAACTTATGACACGGCGCAATGGGTTGCTGAAATATTTGTTTTGAAAAAAATATTGTACACCGCCTGGATTTTAGTCGCCTCTTAAGTCTGGCATGCCTTACCGCTGGTAAATTCTTGAATCACTAACCCGGAGGGGGACGAGTCACTTGTATCATTGCCTCAACGATGTAAAAATTATGGCTTGTCTCGTTTAAGAATCACAAACACACATACTTTTCTAAGAGACGATGTTAGCGGCCGACAAAAACCAGTGATAAATAAAAAGACGATATTGGTTTTGAAAATGATTAAGAAGTGTGACTTTTAGTACAATAACTCTCAAACTTATGCCAAGATTTTATGAAGTTGTAACAGGTTTAACAAAAACGAACATTTGTTAAAGGTAAGTACCAACATTTCAGGACTCTGTAAAACGTACCCAGAATGTTTAACAGTTGTTTATTTTGGAAGATACATTAATCCGTTGATTTATACACTAATGGTTTTCAAGCGGCCGTGGTAGCCGAGTATTAAGCATTGCATGCTGCCATTCGGAAGGCAGTGTTCAACTCATGGTACGATCAACATCCAAAATAAAAAATCAAATTAACTCATTAACCGTTTGAAAAGCCACAAATTAGATGAAAATAATTAATAAAATCAGCAAGTTATATGATATTTTTTTTATATGTTTGGTTGTAGTCAAAAGTTTTTATAAAGCAACAGTAATGTAATTCTAAATCCTTCATTGCCATCAATCCATAAATATATCAGTATATAATTTTTTTCTCATAATCCTCTGTAAGAACGCATAAAAAAAATTTGCTTTGTAACCTCCTTTTGTCGATTAGATTTTCAAGGATGCTAGACATACATATAATAGATTGGAAGTTTTTATCAGTATTAGCTAGCAATGTGCACTGAAATTCTAAAATGTCTTTTAAGTTCGACTAAAATTTCATTTTATGCATCGTCATTAGACAGTGCAAATAAATTCATTTCGCTGTGTTAATATGGTTGATATAAACATCTTTTTCGTATTATTTTTTCCTAAGATCAGTTAGTATTGTGCAAGAAATAAGGATACACCAATTCAAATTTGACTCCCTCAAAATTCCTAACATCCATTCTCCAAAAGCGGATATTTAATGTGTACGTGTTTGTTATAGTTGCTGAAATTTTCCAGCACGAATTTGAAATTTCCACTCGAAGCGAAACGAGGAAATTGCGTTATCTCGTTACAAATTTTTCTGGTTTTTCATCTCACCGAACGTGGTTCAGCAAACTATGTGACATTGTCATATTCTCGATTATCACTTAACAAGTTACTTCTCCTGCAGCCTTGGTGTCCTCCACGCTTACCGTCTTCAGTCTTGCTCCCGGCAAAGGCCTCATCTCTTCGGTGATCAAGTCGGATCGAATTATGAAGTGCGATTCGACCATATTTACAGTAAGTATTCGCTGCTCATATCTATCGGCGTTTCCACGAATTGTATCATTGTTTATTGTTCCGCTCGGTCGCAAGTCTGGTGGCGCTCTTTTTACAGTCATGGGCGAAGTGTTCGGTTTTTCATCACTAGTAGTACTTCCTGCCCATTTTTCATCATATCTGGATTTACCTCCGCGACAAGATTAGCATTGTAAGCTTGTATACTTAAGATTGACGTCTTTCTCGCTGGGAGATTTGGTAATTTACCAACGAGTATTTAGCAAAATCTTAATAACCATGGTTTGTTCGGGAATTTTTCCTATCGTAACAAATTTTTTGCACGTTCTTTGCTTTTATCAAAAATCTCTGCAATCCGTGTACCATAACATTTATATACTAAGAAAACACCATTCCAATATTACCTTTCTTCATATATGAAATTATTTATATTAACAACCCCATTGTTTTATAAAGGTTTATAAAAGCAGAATATAAGTAGAAAGCAGTAGGTTTATACCAATAAGAATTTCTTTTTTGACATAAACCACATGCAAAGGCAATAATTTCGGAATATGCTGATTTGATCTACATAACCTATTTTTCTGCAAACATTAAAAAATGTATAAAGTGCGAGTATTCAAAGTACATACAATAAAATTATATTAAATATGATCAGCTCAAAGATGTTCTAAAATGCCTTTAATATTCGATAGATACATCGTATTCGCCCCATTATAAAAAATCGATGAAATTATACAGCCGACTTTCTTGACTTTTACTAAATTGAAGTATTGGTTAAAGTTGCAAACTAAGGCCATAATTTACAATTAACTGTTATAGACTTACCTGCCAATTGTTTTTTTAAAAGCAAAGACGATTGCAACTCAGACATTTTGAAACAAAACTTGTTATTTAATTGAATTCAAATTGTATTTGAAATTACTTTAATTAAACTCTTTCTCTTGATTTTGATCGGAATAAAAGTATAAAAGCCCACCAACACAATATATTTCCAAATTTAAACCTTCCGCTAAATCCACCAGCATAAATTTAGCATCCGAGCAATTTAGTAATGGACATAACCAAAATTATCGATTTAAAAGACGTCACTTTTCCCCAATACTGCCAAGCAGCGAAAAATTCGAAGCAGCTTGCAATGAGATTACATGAATATCAAGGCGATTTCAGTATAATGAACTGGTAGCCAAAGCGAATTCAATAAAGGTGAGATAATAGAGTAAAGGACTATGAATATTACCATCATAGCATAGCATAACTGGGTCGTAGAAGGTAAATAAAATTAAAATCTTCCCATGACAATCGGGTCTTTACACTGCAACGACCCGGACAACATTCCCCTAAAACTACAGTCACGAATTTTTTTGGTCTAAAAAATTCATTTGGGAGAACACTTAAATTTATATTTTTTTAATGAATTTTGTTTACATTTCCCTCTTTCTTTTTAACGAAGTTTTCCCACTTGGCTGGGGTTAGCTCAAGGTTAGCTCAAACACGCTATTTCGGAAGCTACAAAAAATGTATTAGTTATAAACAGAGATATAATATATAAATCTCTATACTTTTGCTGTACATATATCTACTTTCTCGTATGAGCTGTGAAGGTGAAAACCCTCTACCAGCCTATTTTTTCCAGGGAGGTTGTTGTAACCGCAAATTATTCCCTGAATTGGATTTCGGGGCAAATTGCGGGAGTGACAGTCCTTGGCCGGATAAAAATCCGGGTCGTTCCGGTATAAAGACCCGACTGTCGCGGTAACTACTGGCTTTTATTCGCCTCTTACGACAGGCATGCCTTACTACGGGTAAATTCTTAAGCCCCAACCCGCAGAGGTCCAGTGAGGTAAAAACCCTCAGTAGAGTACAAATAAGTGTTTGCGAGGTGAAACCACTACATTTGCCGTTGGTGTTGGTCCCACGGACAAGTATACCTACTGACGAAAAACAGGCTAATTGATATTCTCTAAATCGTCCTCTTCTTTTATACAATTCTGCGCGCAGGCAGAATGTTATTCCACAAAAACAATTTATTACTCTTAAACAGTTTTCTTTAAAGCTACGTGTGTGTATGTATATACATGTTCACATAAAATCATGTTTGAACTTGTTTCTTCTTGTGAAAGCAAAGCGAATTCGCAAAGAGCGTAATCCATAAAATGTGTATGTACAGTGGCTCAGAAATGAACTCGTATGCACAAGTTATATGACTTTAAACAAAAAAATATATAATAAAATGCAAATCAAGGGCTTTCTGTTGCTTAAGTGTATTTTTCAAAACAACCAAAACCACAAACTAAATTCAACTCGGTCGTATAAAAATAATATGAACATAACAACTTAACAAAACTGATGACAAAAAAGAGCTCGGACTTATGTATACATAAGATAGAATTTAAAAATATTATTTAAAGAGAAACAAAATATTCTTAATAATTGGTCGGCAAGCCCTTACTTCTTCTGGTAGCATTCAGTCTTCTTGGCAGAGATTCAACTTGCTTCTTGCATTTTAAAGAATTAATGTTCCCCCACTCTTCCAAAATAGCGGCCTCTAGGTCTTCCTTATTTCTAATAACATACATTTTCAGTTTATTTTCCAAATGAGCCCACAGAAGTTCAATTACCTTAATGTCGGGAGATTCAGGAGGTGTTTCAAGCACTTTAGGACAGTTATACATCAACTATAGACGGACATCAAGTGCTTTATGCTTGGGATAGTTGTTTTGGTAGTACTGGAAATTGTGTTTAATTCCCATCTTTTCCGCACTAATTTTCTTTTAAAATGGTTAGATATTACTTGTGGTCCATATTACCATTTATGAAACACCGATTTCCAGAACAGGCTGCGGACATACAACCCCATACCATTACTGAGCCGCCCCAACTCTTCATTCGGTTTTTTCCAAACATACGTGTACGACTATCCAACTGACCTAAATATATTAAATTTGCTTTCATCTGCAAATAAAACTTGTTTCCAGATTTGAAAATCCTTATTCCCATGACATTTTGTAAATTTTATCCTTTTTTTCGGTTAACCTCGTCGCTCTGTCTGATACCTCGTTTGGTATCGAACGGCTTGGAGCGGTCCTTCCCAAAAATACTAAATTTATTGCCAAAAGCATGTAATAGATATAAACGAATGTTAGATTAAAGAGAGAAACCGATGCGTTATAGATCGCTTGTAACCAGTCGGTATCGAGAACAGTCAAACACAACCATCGAGTTATGCACAATAAAATTTCTTAGGCATATAACAGAACCGTAAAATATTCATGTGGGTGTATTACTCACAAATGATAGCGTTGGTTCACAGTTAACAGGAATAGACTGTTACTATGTTTACGCAAAGAGCGTATATTAATAACAAGATAAAAGAACTGTGAATTTTTCATTGGAGTGGCTCACGTTTCACAGACGGAGTGCTTATCTTCCTTCGACCTTCTTTACCTCGTAGGGGTAATGTTGTTATGTTTTCTCGGCATTTTTATGGCTACGATGATAAAAAACGACAAGGAGGCAAATGATGCAAATTTGCTTAAATTTATTTCATATTATTTTAAATAATATTGCTTCCATATGAAACAGGGGAGTCGTAAACTTCATTAATGCGTATACACCCTATTCAAATTTCTGTATTATCCCACATATCTAAGTTCGTTAAGTGATTTACCGTCGGAATTTCGCAATAGCGTTGTTTTATAGTTTTTTAACTTTTAATTTAATTAATGAACTTAACATTAATATAAACGTACGTACATATGTCTACACCATACAAAGTACTGACCTGCATCTCGAAGTACATGCAAAAACATATGTACATATGTATGTATATTGAGATACTTAAATGCAAAACATACACATACATTATTTGCGGAAAAACTACTTACTCCATACCTCTAAATATGTCTCCCGCCTAAAAGCTCAGAACTGAAATCAAACACAACAATAAGATTTTCTTTCATGGGGTCGCAGGGGTCGTACTACAACAAATCAAAATGCGTTCATTCATTAAAAGTCGCCTCTTCGCTGCGTTGACAATTATCACAAGAAATCAAAAGCATATATATATTTTTGCCATGAAAAAAAAATTCAATCACCGTCTGCAGAAATGAAGCAAATCGGCATCGTGCTACAAAATTTGTTGTCCGCCTATTAGCTCATATCCCCCTCAAAGCAATATCATTGCTTTCCCGCACGTATCGTAGACCAGATGCATTGTGGCGAGGATGACAAATGCTTACTTACATACTTATTTTGGCGTAGACAACGCCTACGTGAATATAGCCGAGTTAAAAACATTGCGCCATTCGTTTCTTTTTTTGTTGTTGTCTGAAGTTATTTGGAAATACCAAGTACCCGATCTTTCCAACGGAGTGGAGGTCTTCCTTTTCCTCTGCTTCCACCGGCGGATGCTGCATCTAAAACTTTCAAAGCTGGAGTATACACATGACCTAGCCATCATAGCCGCTGCTTCTTTATTCGCTAAACTATGTCAATGTCGCCGTATAACTCGTACAGTTCATCGTTCCATCGTCTGCGATATTTGCCGATGTATATGCGCAAAGGACCGCAAAACTTACGCTTGACTTGACACTTTTCTCTCAATCTTCATTAACAAACAGCTTCTTTCAGTCGAAGTTGAGCGAAAGTCGCAAACCTACACATGCAAAGATTCATAAACGTATATAATAAAAAAAATTCACACAAAGTATTGGGAGATCCCTTTTCCCTTGCTCCCTCCACCAACAAGCCGTTCGGGTCAGATAATTTGTTGATTTTGCAACAAAGTGAAAACCCATACATTCAAGCAATTTAATATGTATACGGAAAACGCATACAATCATATTAGCTTGCATGCCATTGCTTCTTTTTCCCCGCCATCCACAAACCGCTTCTTCGCTACAAAGACTCAGTTTCAGAAACACCAGAACTCAAGCAGGTCTGAAGGCCAATGTGTACACCAAAAACAAACACAAGCACAAAAACTTGCCAATTCTCTTTCCTTGTACTCCGTCATACGGAACGGTTTATTTTGCTGTGTGTTGCACGGCTGCTGACCAACGAATGAAAAACGTCAACTCAAAATTCAAAAAGACAAATATACATACATTTTACAAGAATTTTAATTTTGTTAGAAAAGCGGATAGCTTCGAATAAAATTCGCTTTATTATTTATTATTTATTATAATAGAATGAATTCAAGGAAGTAAAAAGACAAAGAATACAGTATCGAGGATATAAAGTAAAATATTCACAATAGCATTCACATCATAGAGTGTAGTTCTCCCACATCCCCACCCTTGTGAATTAACCCGATTCACTAATTTCCACATCTATAAAGGCCAGCTGGGATATTCCACGACGCTTGTCAATTTCCCTGTATTGACCGGGGTACAGTTCGACCACTTCTCCTCGGCTCCATTCTCTGCGTATACCACGCAGGTTCTCAGACAAATATAAAATCGTCTTTTCGCAATGTCTTCGTCTTTTGACACCGTTTTACGCTGCGGGTTAATGTCGGCATGTACTCAGTTATTCAGGGTTTCCAGAAATGATCTCGCCCTGCTTGCTTATGGCACATGTGGTGACTACATCTTGTTCAATACCAGGCGTGTGAGCTGTATTGACTGGTCCGATTAAGACCTTTTTCCGGCGTCAAGGGCTGTTGTTGATCCACGCTAACCACGCACAGTTGAATACTTCGTCGAACGCCGATCATTTCAGCATTTACGTTGTGAAACTTGAGAGCGTAGCTAAATATCTCTATACTTGGTTACCAATACATTCAGAGCACACATCCATCGTTAATGTCACTGGGCTGCTTACTATCCCCTCCGACTTGCTTCCATTAAACGCAGTTTTTACCTCTAATGGATTTAACGAAAAATTACGTAGCTCGAACTCACCGTTCTTACGAATACTTCTGACCTGGTCTGCAACTCGAATGGCTTATTCTACGGATCCAAAACTGTCAACATAATGACTTTGTGCGATGGATGGAGAGGCTCATGGATAGCGTTCGCGATGCTCCAGTGCATTAAATTTTATTGATACCGTTTTGCCAAAGAAATCTCTGAGCA